CAGAAAGTCTTCAGGTATGGTGATCAGTTGGCTATCTCTTCATGACTCTGCTTCCCCAGCTCACATTCCTCCTCTACTCCTGACATCTGATTTACCTGCAGTTTCCTAAACTGGCCATATTCCCCCAAGTTGGATGCCTAGAAAGACCTTCCCTTGCATCGCCATCTTCCCTCTGCACCCCGCCCCTTTTTAACCTCTTCCTCACTTCCACCCACCTGGCTGGCTCACATTGGTCCTTTAAGGTGCCAATCATGCATCACTTTCTCTTGGAAGCTTGCCAAGACCCACCCACCAGCCCAGAGCTTCTTACTGTCACCCTCTGCACGCCTCCACCATTGCACGTCTCCTCTGTGTTGTGACCGTGGCTTTCTTGTGCGTCTCCTCCATTAGACAGGTAGCTCCTTGAAAACAGGAATTTGTTTTGTTACAAATGTAATCATGTTTTTATGAAAACATTGGATTCTTGGTCATAAACAACAGAAACCAACCCTTACAGATTTAAGTTGGAAAAGGACTCAATGGGTGTGGGGGGCTGGCACGGCCATGGCATACTCAGACCAACGTGGGGCGCCCTATGTGCCGAGCCAGCTCAGCCAGGTTCAGTGAGCCCGAGTGGGGGCGGTGAAGGATTGAGAAAAGACAGACAAGAGAATGAAAGCTGGGTCTCGGCGGGACGCTGCCCTCTCTGATGGAGAGAGACAGTGCCACGGACTACAAGCCGTGTCTTTATTTTATAGACAGATTTCACAAGGCAAAGTAAGGGCGTGGTCAAGATGTTTACAACATTCTCATGGGTTTCGATCCTACTCAATTCATGCACCTGAACTCTATCAAGCCCACATTACTCAGACACATGGGACCACGTGTTCAGACCATAGGTTCAAGCTTACAACTAGAACTGTTGGCTATAATTGTGCTGGGAGGGCTCTGCTCTCCAAACTGGGACTTGCACGTGGCAATGAGAGGACTGTGCCCTCTCATCAGTCCGAGGCTTGAACCTGTCCAAACACTGTAGCCCAGTGGTTCTCAACCTTGGCTGCACATTAGAATCACCTGGGAATCTTTTTAAAATCCTGATTTCTGGGCCTTAAAAATCCTGATTTTAAAATCCTGATTTCTGGGCCTTAAAAAGATTCCCAGGTGATTCTAATGTGCAGCCAAGGTTGAGAACCACTGCTGTAGCCGCTCTCCACAAGTGGGAAGATACTGTTTAGCTCACAGAATCACCTGGATGGAGACGCCAGAGTTCAGTTCAGCAGGAAAGCAGCCGGAAAAGGCCCCAGTCACTCCAGACTGCTCATGTGTGATCACATTGTCCTCTCTATGGAGTGCCAGCCCTCCCACCTCAGCCAAAACCTGCAGCAGCTCTGACTCATCAGTTTTTTGTTTGTTTTTAAAAAATATATATTTTATTGATTTTTTACAGAGAAGAAGGGAGAGGGATAGATAGTTAGAAACATCGATGAGAGAGGAACATCGACCAGCTGCCTCCTGCACACCCCCCATTGGGGATGTGCCTGCAAGCAAGGTATATGCCCTTGACCGGAATCGAACCTGGGACCCTTCAGTCCGCAGGCTGACGCTCTATCCACTGAGCCAAACCGGTTAGAGCTGACTCATCAGTTTTGTATGTTGAGCTGTGACACCGATAGTCTTCAAAGAAAGGGTTTCATAGTTAAAAAGAAATACACGGTCCATGAGGAAATGTCTAGGGGTGTCATAAGTTGATATTCATATTTCTATGTAGGTGTTTTGAGAAAGATTTATCATGTTGATTTATTTTGGTAATTAAGAAACTGTAAAGCTAATATTCATTCATTCACTCATTCATTTATTCATTCATTCAATTATTTGTTCATTCAACAAATATTCACTCATGTAAGACTCTGCAGAGTCCCATCTCCCTGGGAGACCCTCGTAAATTTAAGTCACTATACTCCCGAGAAAGGAACCGGGCAGGACTTAGTCTTCCTTTTATAGATGCGTAAACCAACGCTCAGAGAAGTTGTGACTTGTTCACCCATTGGATCCATGATTTCAACAAGATCGTCCAACTGTGCTTAGACTTGCCAATCATATCAACCATTACAGAATACCCAGGTTCGATGTGGTCTGAGAAGAGATTTCTAAATCTATCCATTGGTAGATCATTGCTGGTGACTTTTGAGAAACAATTTATTTGAATAGGTGAGTGTGGCAACCAGATGTAGCGGGTTAATTGGTAAATGTGCTGAAGACGTGGGGGGAGCAAGTACAAACCAATCTTTCCAAACATTTGATAGTAAAGGAAATGATTGACATGGCAGTGGCTTGAGGAGAAAACAAAGAAAAAGAATTGGTGGGGCTGGTTGTAGGTTGAGCCTATGGAGATAACAAAAGCAATAGGATACCATGTGCAGAAATTTTTTAAACACAATTTAAAACACACAGAATGGGCTTTGGAGCACACTGTTCTGGGTTCAAATTCTGACTCTGCTACTTAGTAATTAACAGAGTCTCAGTTTCCAAATCTATGAAATGGTATAACCGTGACTATTTCCTTTAAGTTTAAACAAAATGTCCTGTACTCACTGGCATGTAAGAGGCAGTTCCTCCCCATCTCTCATCCACAGGTCTCCTCTCTGCCACCCAAAATTAGGGTTGCCATGTAAAATAAGTGCAATATTTGGGACATACTTTTACTAAACGATTCCTGTTTCCCTGAAGTCTAAATTTAATTGGACATGCTGCTTTTGTTTTCCTAAATCTGGCAACCCTACCCAAAATACCTTGTATCCAAGTGCCATGATAAAAATTGAAGGCCTGAGTAAAGAGGTAAAATGGTGGAAGGTGCTGCCTCCTACTGGTGGAATGTGGCAACACCGACCAGGCCAGCAATGCTGTATACCCTACAGGTGGCTTTCTTAAAAATAGCAAGTCAGTTTATTTTGTTCATTAGATTCCACATATAAGTGAGATCATGTGATACTTGTCTTTCTCTGACTGGCTTGCTATGGACACAGACAATAATGCAGTGAAGGCCTGGGGGAGCGGGAGCAGAGTAGAGGGGGTCAATGGGGATATCTGTAATACGTTCAACAATAAAGATACATATTTTTAAAAGCAAAAACAAAGCAAACAACAAAAAAACAAAACACACCAACAACTAGCATTGGACAGGAAAACAGAGCCACAGGAACGTAGAAATCTTTTAAATAAAAATAGCAAGTCACAAGACACCCTGTGGAAGAGAGATTAAGTTTTCATTATCCTTGCTAACATTTTAGTCTAAATTTATTATTACTGTAATCCTACTATCTTTTAATTTTCACTGGTACCAATATATATGTATATATATTTAGCTATGTTGTTTTATACTTTTTTGTCAGGGTTAGTAGAATATTCCTGCACATTCATAACTTATGTCTTCTTATTGGATTCCTGTCTACTTTGTGTGTGTGTGTGTTTTTAAATATATTTTTATTGATTTCAGAGAGGAAGGGGAAGGGAGAGATAGAAACCCCAATGATGAGAGAGAATCATTGATCAGCTGCCTCCTACACACCCCACACTGGGAATTGAGCCCGCAATCCGGACAGTGCCCTGACCAGAAATTGAACTGTGTGACCTCCAGGTTCATAGGTTGACGCTCAACCACTGAGCCACAGTGGCCAGGCTCTTTGCGTATGTTTCAAATTGTACATTGCCACTGACAAACCTCTTTAAAGTCACCGTCAGTACATGCATATTTATTTTTCCTTACAAAAGTATAATGTTTTTACATATATTTTAAACGCTGGCACATGCGATAAGTGAAGCCCTGGTACATAATAGGTGCTCAATAAAATTATAGTATTTTTTATTACTTTAGTGAGATCACATTAGCATAGTGTATAACAGAGGAATTTGGTGAGGCTCCTCATAAGTGGTTCCTAATAACAAGAAGACAAATGAGGCTTTCTGAACGGGTTCTCCAACAGGAGCTCAGAATATACAAAAGCTTCCCCCAGGCACCAGCTCTCAGGCTTCCTCAGTTGAATGGGGGAGGAAATGAGCAGCAGCTGTTTCTTTCACTCCCACCCTGTACCAATCTGAAACTCACCAGTGGTGACTGCAAGGCCTCGTCTTCTTCACCTGCTTGGTTACGAGGCAAACACCTGTGCTTGGCCCAGCAGTTGCATTCGCCAAAGCTATCTGTCTTTGTTCCAGCACTGCTCGCTCGCCTAAAGCTGTGCTAACAAGCTCACCTCTTCTTCAGGAACACAGCTCTGTCTCTATACTGAGAAGCCCGGGTCAGGCCATGAAAGAAAAGCCACCAAGGCAGGAACGGAGGTTTTCTTCCTGGTAAATGCTTCCGGTTTCACCAGGGACCAGTTCAGGATTATTGTCTGCCTTTTCACTTGTTGTATTGTGATCATTATGCATCTTTATCTGTCGTTAACAGCAAATTCTTCTTTACTCTTATAATGTAGCCACGCCTCTCGCTTCAGAAAGGGAACTGGGATGCCAGGTGGAGCAGTTCCTGCAGAAGCTGGGCAGAAAGGCTGTGGACACGTGTCTAGATCTGAGTAACTGCGGGCTAACAACAGCGGACGTGAGGGAGATGGGTTCGTATGCAGTTGACTTTGCACTGACGGGAACATGGCCTGTAGGTTGAAATGAGCAGGCAAAACACACTCATTATTCACTTGGTAACCCAAGGTCTGAGGGTGGCCCCAGACTACTCAGAAACAGCTGCTGCACCGCTAATTAAACGAAAAGATTTGAGTGGAGGAAGTTCATTTGTTTGTTTTTCCTGAGCATTTTTGCCTCCCTACTGATTGCCTCTGGCTCCCTGCAAAACATCTGTTCTTACATAGGATATAAACCCATGAAACTCAGCCTAAAACCGAGCCTTCTTGGAAATTTAAAGGGGTATTGTGCTCTTTGGTTATCTGTGGAATGAAAAGTACAACTGCCAGCAATTATTGCATATATATATATATATTATTGTTTAAAGTTTTACATATGTCTCCTTTGCTTATATTTTTTTGTACACAAAAGTATCGCTACCCTTTGTTATACCTAAGCAGGAGTGTAATTGTGAAGAACCCTGTGCCCACCCACCATCAACACCTTTCCCCCCTCTTTTTCTCAGGTACCTTAAATTAAGCCTTTAATCAAATTAGATGTGTCTACCAACAGAGATGCATCAAAGAACTGCGTTTTGAATGAGGAGTCCTCGACTATTTTAGTTAAAATCCATGCCATTATAATTTGGACAGGACTCTGAAAGGGAACTCTAACCATGCCCGCGGGTATCCAATGCCGGCCTGTTAAGATCACTTGTGGAGCCTGTAGAAACGTAGGCACTTGAGTCCAACCCAAACCCACTGAATGGCAATCTCTGGTTTTATTTTTTTTCCTTCTTAATATGTTCAGTAGATTTATGCTTTGTAAAATTAGGACCATCGTGAACGTGCTTTTTGGGGAAAAAAATATTGTCGTAAATGTTTCCTCCCATGCCCCGCGTGGTTCAGGGTTCAATATCTGGAAGAGGAGCTTCACACAAATGAAATAGAAAAGACAAGAGATAATTTGGAAATATTGGGGGACCAGGCGGGTAAGTCCAACTCAAGAGGAAGGACTTCCACCCGTGCTCAGTCCGCACCGACCTTTTATAGTCTGAGGTAAACAATGCAGTGGTTTCCATAGTTACAGTTCTTGTGAGTTTCACCTGTTTTGATCATGTTTACACTCCCTGCACTTCCCTCAGCCCATTAGCTTCCCAGGTAAGAGCTGGGGAGTGTTATAAGGTCAAGCCTAATTATGCTAAGAGGACTGAGCCCTCTAAGCTGGGACTTGTTTGTGACTTTGCCAGCAGGTCAGTCCGAGGCTCAACCCTATATCAGTTTCCCACAAAATATTTTTATTGATTTCAGAGAGGAAGGGAGAGGGAGAAAGAGATAGAAACATCAATGGTGATCATAAATCATTGATCGGCTGCCTCCTGCATGCCCCACACCAGGGATTGAACCCACTACCCGGGCATGTGCCCTGACCGGGAATCAAACCACGACCTCCTGGTTCCTAGGTCAACGCTCAACCACTGAGCCATGCCAGCCAGCTGAACATGCTTTAAATCAGTGGTTCTCAGCCTTCCTAATGCCGTGACCCTTTAATACAGTTCCTCATGTTGTGGTGACCCCCAACCATAAAATTATTTTTGTTGCTACTTCATAACTGTAATTTTGCTACTGTTATGAATCGTAATGTAAATATCTGATATGCAGGATGTATTTTCATTGTTACAAATTGAACATAATTAAAGCGTAGTGATTAATCACAAAAACAATATGTAATTTTATATGTGTTTTCCGATGGTCTTAGGCGACCCCTGTGAAAGGGTCGTTCAACCCCCAAAGGGGTCGCGACCCACAGGTTGAGAACCGCTGCTTTAAATGCTGGTGAAAGGAAAACAATTTTCCCTCTAAGCGTGGCCTCAGCATTTCGGAAGGCTGGGTTGCTGTGCCTGTAATGCAGAAGCTCAGCCTGCTGCTTCCCACTGCTGACTGCTGCCACCACTTTCACATTCAAGACAGGCGTTTAAAAGATGCTTTACCGCCTCTGGGTTGTCATTTCCACTCAAAAGTCTTGTTGCTTCAGGGGTACGATGGCCCTGGAGGGTCCTTTTCCCAGAGGGCAACTTCACTTCTAATGAGCAGTAGCAGAGACCGAGGAGGTCCCATCAGGCTGTGTGCCAATCTACGTCTCCATGTTAGTCCGTTTAAGTATTACGGCAGCTTTTTAAGGAGGTGATGCCCAGGTAATCAAGATAAAAAAGAAAAGGTAAGAGGCGCCTGTAACCTCAGCAATCCTGGCCCAGAGAGCAGTCCCCAGCCACCAGCCCGAGGAACCAATAGGAGGACTGGCTGATGGATGTCAGAGAGTTATGCAAAATACAAGGACCAGTGCACACTTTACAGTGACAGTGGTGGTAACAGCAGAGTTACCTTCTCCTCTGCAGTAAAAAAGATCCTATGAAATCTTATAGAGACACCACTGTACTTTCTTTTAAAAAATATTTTTATTGATTTCAGGGAGGAAGGGAGAGAGAGAGATTGAAACATCGATGATGAGAGAGAATCATTGATCGGCTGCCTCATGCATGCCCCTACTGGGGATCGAGCCCGCAATCCGGCATGTGCCCCAATCAGGAATCGAACTATGATCTCCTGGTTCATAGATGGATGCTCACCCACTGAGCCATGCTGGCTGGGTACCACTGCATTTTCAGAGTGAAATTATTTGGCAAAAATAGAAAACATCCCAAGAAATAGAAAATGTAAACGTTGCAATCTCTCCAATTGCATGTCTGAGTGATCCCTGAGAGAGCCACATGCCCTCGTCCCCTTATTCTCTTACCAAACTATGTTCTGTGCGTATAGGCAATGGATCCTACTTACTGCACCTCACAGATTACTTATGCAAATCTGTATGTTCTTTTGTTCACGTCTAGTTGCTTTGCTGCCTTTTCTCCCGGACCTAGAAACACTGGACATTTCCTGGAATGATTTTGTGGGTGGAACCCTCCATTCAGTCACTGAGCAAATGCATCTTGTCAGCAAGTTAAAAAGCCTGAGGCTGGGTAGCTGCAGACTTACCACCGATGATGTGCGAGCACTGGGTATGATGAATGCTTCTCCTAAAAGACTTACTGACACACCTTGGCAGCCCGACCCTCAAGGGCAAATTACCTGGGTCCCCACACCCTCGGTGCTCATGGACGAGTGTACTGTGCCTGAGGCGGTGGACATGATGCATGTGGTGGTGAGCACTAGCCTAACTTCTAAAGGGCCATGTAGCCTTACCTGGCATTGTGCTAATTTCCAGGCTAGAGAAGGGAACAGGCTGACCAGGTGCCCACTCTCCTGGAGTTTAAATGGCGATCGTTGTAAAACTGGCTCCCTCTGGGTCTTTTACCTCATCTGTCAAATAGAGTTGGAGTAGATAACGATTAGATGCTTCTCCAACTCCAAAATAATCTCTTCTATTTTTCCGCCTCCATTTAAAAAAATTGGTCAAAACAAGATTTTTCAACTAAAAGAAATGGTTTAAATCAGCGGTCGCCAACCGGTGATCCGCGGACCACTGGTGGTCCGTGAGGTCCAAAAGGTTGGCACCCGCTGGTTTAAATGGCAGTAGCACCTCCATGAAGCTAGTTTATATGCTGAACAGAGAATAAAGGACATAGGATAACATTTGTCACGCTACTAACCCAACTGCCTTACTGAAATGCTTGCTGGTTTTAGATGGCATTAATTTTTCTAAATTTTCTTTTGGTCTGAAGTTTCTTATTTCGGTTATGTATTTTGATCATTTACATCTCTGCAAAGATTTCTGTAAAAACAATGCAATTCATGCCAAGGTATTCACTCCAATCTCTCCCAAGAAAATGGGGGCCAGCTGATGACTCCTGGCCCCACCCTGCCTATAGCCGAGGAAAAACATCATACATCTCAGAGCTGGCCAGATCCCAGTTCAAATCCCAGTCCCACTTCTGACTAGCTTGTGACCATGGACAAACTACTTAACCTTTCTGAGCCTCAGTGTCTCATCTCTGAAAAGGGGGTGATATCCACCTCAAGAAATGACTGTAAGGATTGGATAAGGACATTTCTGTGACGTGCCTACTGCATACCCGGCACATAACAGGTGCTCAGTCATCGGTAGCTCCTCTTCTCCCTATTCCCTCATCCAAAATTTTCCTTCTGTGGTTTTACATGAGGAAATTAGCAGCTGGTTATCGTGTAGAAGGATCACAAATTTAACACATCGTTACTCAGACATGAAAAGAAAATGTAGTTTCTTTCTTTTCTTTGATTAACCTAATCTTTTTCATGATCCTCCATTTCCTTAAGAGACCAGAACGTGGAATTTGGCCCCGGGACCCACTCCAAACTCACTGGGCGCAGGAGGGAGTGCACAGCTTTGTCTCTGATGTCTTGAGCCCTTGTCCCTTCCCGGAGTCTCTCTCCTCTCTAGAAGGACTTCTGCATCCTCTCCCATCAGAGAGGGCTTTCTGTAGTCTTAATGCAGATGGGGTACAAGGAGAATAAATGGTGGGCTGGTAAGCTAACATACTAGTAAGTCAGGAGCCATTTCCACATTGTTACACCTGTTACAACTGCTTAATGCAAGATGGCCAATGCTGGCCATCCAGTCCCGTGAGGGCTGCAGATAGCCAATCAACCTTACACTCTTTCTCCCTGATCCTGAGCTTCAGGGCTATAGAAAGCCACCCCAATTGACTGGTGGTGACACTTGTGCAGGAAGAATATGCATGTTAACATGGGGCTCTGGACTCCTGGATCCTTCATCCATACTGCAAATAACCAATGCGAGGTCCACACTCAGCTGCTGAGGTGGAAGAGGCTCCGGACATGGGGCTTTCCAGCTCTTGATTGTTTAGGATTAAGATCGACGCTGCCTGCTGAGAAGTGCATTTTCCATGTGTGGCTCCCCACCCTTCTCCCAGGGCAGTGAAAATCATCCTAAGGATCCGCCCCCCTCCCTTCCCCCGGGTCTCTCCCATGTCCACGCTGTAGCCCGAGGGAGCTCTCCTGTGTGAAGTGGACGCTGTAGTCCCAGGGAGCTTTCCTGTGTGAAGTGGTTTCAGAAATGTCATTGCACCCCTTTCTCACGGCACCCTCCTCTGCCCGGTTGGTTCTTCTCTGCCGCGGTCGGTTCAGTTGTATGTGACACTGTTGATGTCAATGTGAGCTTTACCCCCATGGGAGCCAGTGCCTGGCTTGGTCTCACTTCTACCTCCTGCCAAGCGCCTCAGCATTGCTGCTCCCAGAGAGGGTGAGTGAGAGAAAGTAATGGACTAGTACACGTGTTTACCGCCACAAAAAATCTCAGTAACGTGTTTACCGCCACAAAAAATCTCAGTAAGAAATACCTTATGAAGAGGTGAGTTTTAAAAAAGCAATCTGTGCTCATAAGCGTGGCTTCAGAACTTTGGAGGGTCGTAGACCGTGCCTGTAAAAATAGGAGCTCCCCCTGCTGGGAGTGGGCGGAACTGCGTCCTCTTCTTTGTTACCTGGCACCTAACCAGTCTGACCTGGCTTGGCTTCCATACGCCATAAATAACGATTTTGAAGTGCATTCTCTGCTTTGCAGAGTAGTGACCAATCTTCGGGCTCCTCTGTGACAGGAGCAGCGCTTAAAGCGATACCTGACCTTGAGGAGCTGACTTTGTCCTGGAACAGTAAAGTGGGAGGAAACTTGCCTCTGATCCTGCAGAAGTTCCAAGCCGGGAGCAAGATCCGAACGCTGGAGCTGGTGGACTGCGCCCTCACGTCAGAAGACGGGGCATTTGTGGGTAAGTGGAGCTTGGAAGAGTTCTTTCCAAAAATTAAAATTAAAATGTGAAGACGCCCATGATTGAATAGCTTGGGAGTCAACGTTGGCTGTTTTCTCTTGACCCTGGATTGAAAGAGTGGCTCACTCCATCCCTGGGTTCCATGAGGCTGCATTCCCCTCCTGCCCCCCCCCCCCAACCCCCTCCCAACTCCCACACCTGCATTTTCACTGAGTTGCTCTTTTTGTTCGGATTTCCTTCCTTCCAGGTCAGTTGCTACCTATGCTGCCAAGTCTTGAAGTACTTGATCTTTCCATTAACAGAAACATCGGTGGCAGTCTAAGCAGTATCGCTCAGGGGTTAAAAAGTGCCTCAAATCTGAAAGTACTGAAGTTACAGTCATGTGGGTTATCACAAAAGAGTGTCAAACTATTGGGTAAGCAATGGCTGAAGTTTATATACATAATTTTATGTATGTATATCATTTTATTTTATATTTAATTTTTAAAACTATTAGGAAAAATAAAATATAAACAGTGGTTATGTTGAGGAATAACGTTATGGGTCATTTAAATCTTAATGTTTTATGTACTTTCTTTTACAGCAAGAATATACTTCCATGATTACAAAAATAACCTTTTCAAATGGCTGAATCTGAAAAAGCCAGGCTATTTTAGGTTTGAGATAGATACTGGGCAAAACACAAGTTTCTGTGCTCTTAAAGCACTCCAGTTTCTCTTACTTTTAAAACTGTCAGCATTATTTTGTGCTCAGTAGTAAGAAGAAATTGGTACTGATAAAAAAAAACAAAAACGGCTTCAGTAGTATCCATAGCTAAAAGTCATTTCCCTGTATAAGCATCCACAATAAAGGAGAATGTGAAATGAAATTGTGTTTTCCCTTTGACTTACAACGCTTGTAACAGCCTTCTCACTGGCAGTTTGATCAAATCTAGAACTCTATGAAAACGCCAAAGCTCAGGTGCAGTAGGAAAACCATGAGTGGCAGAACCATTGTGTTTGAGGTCATTGTCAAATCCAAAGAGGGGTAGATGGTAGGGAGTCTGCAGTCTACAGTTATTCCTCTGTTTTTGCATTTTTCTGGGTGTATTTCTCAGTCTCCCTTCTGCACACCTGTGCCCTCCCCTGCTCCATGCCTGCCTACCACCTTGTCATATGTCAGAATGGGATTTGACTTTCTCTGTAGATGCTGCTTTTAGACACCTGAGTGAGCTGAGGACACTCGACCTTTCCTGCAACAAGGAGCTGGGTGGAGGTTTTGAGGACTCGCCAGCTCAGGTGGCCACGCTGGAGCGTCTGGAAGTCCTGGACCTGCACCAGTGCTCACTAACAGCCGGCGACGTGGTGTCGCTGAGTAAGTGTGTGGGATGGAGCCAAGGGCATTGGAGCCTTGGCATGTGTTTAGAAATGTGACAAATTTGAGATATGCCCTTAAACTTACTACTGATGAAGCTACTGGGAGGCTCAAATCATAAAAGTTCTGTGAATGCCCCACTATAGTATTTATAAAGTGCCCAGTAAGTGTTAGTGAGGCTAAGGTCCTCCTATACACGCCAGTAAATGATAGCTGTGGTACTTGAAGGCGAACACTTGGTGTTTATGTTGCGGTGTAGAAACAGACCTGTTCATTAGATTCCGCATATGAGTGAGATCATGTGATACTTATCTTTCTCTGACGAGCTTATCACATGATCTCACTCATATGCGGAATCTAATGAACAAAATAAACTGATGAACAAAATAGATCCAGAGACACAGAAGCATGGATCAGATTGTTCAATCTTAGGGAGAAGGCAAGGGAGGGTGGGTGGGTAGGAAGAGATCAACCAAAGAACTTGTTTGATATATGCATAACCCATGGACACAGACAATAGGGTGGTGAAGGCCTGGAGCAGGAGATGGGGGGAGGAGGGAGGGCTGGGCCAGATGGGACCAATGGGGGATAAAAGGGGACATCTGTAATACTTTCAACAATAAAGATTTTTTAAAAAATAAAATAAGTAAGTGGAACAACAAAAAGAAACAAATCTGTCGGTGTCACCTAGCTTATTACAGAGAGGGCTGTAGAGGGAAAGCCAAAATGAAGGGTGTTGAGGCTTTCAGACTAACAAGTTAAGTCACTTAGATACAAACGAAGGTAGAGAAAAAGTCAGTGGGGTGGTGCATAACAGGTTACATTACACATCGGTACCACACTTACTTCCTACCCCAGACACAGTCCTGTTATTACTACAACGTGTAATGTATCAGTGCAGTTTCCCATAACAAGCAGCAAGCGCAGCCTTGCGAGTAAGTGTTCTATTCCATCTGTAACCACAATAAACCTTCTAAATACATCCAGAATCTGATCGTGGTTCACCATCTAGACCTCTACCCCCCTGCTTTAGGTCATCCCACGAATCCAAATGGTCACCCTCTTCCTCTGTCACTGCCTTCTTTCTCTCCCCCTCCCCCTCACTGACCCTGTTCCAGCCACACCTTCATGCTGATCCTCACCAGCTACGCTCTGTCCTGGGCCTTTGCCCTTGAGCTCTCTTCAGATCATGGGCTCCTCCGGGGCAGGGGTGCATCTCCTTCCGAGTTTCTCCTTTGCTCACACCCAGGGGCTGGCACATAGTTGGCACCAGTAAGTGTTTGTGGAATATGTGATTGAATAAATGAATGACTCGATGAACACAAAGAAAAAGAACTTTTTAGTTGTTTTGTAGTACAATTTGGAGAGGAAAACAGTAAAATAGGTTTTGAGGTCTAACATCTACCTTTTAGAACTGCTTGGTTATTTCTTGGGCTCTTATCCCTCAATTTTGGAAAATGAGAAGAGGTCAAGGCTTGGAGATTTTAAAGTAACAAAACAACCCCTTCTGGGGCTCCAGGTAGAGCTGTATGGGGTATAGCACCCCTCTATTTATGAGTGTCAGACCTGGGAGAGAGACTCCTGAGTTAGCAGTCCATCAGATTCTAAATAATAAATTCCCCGTAGTATACTGAATAACAGGAATATCACATCTCAGCTTGTTGCTCAGAGGAAGATTAAACTGCTAGATGACCTGAATTGTTACCACTAACATAACAGAGGGATTAGCCTCTCTTACCTAGATTCACAGCCACCAACAGGCCTTGGAAAGCTAATGATTATTTAAAAGCTGTCGCGAAATGCACTGTTCTCCTTCTGCTTAATTTTGAAAAGTTGGAAATGAAAATACATCCTGTTGATGTATTATGTACTAAAAACATAATACCTTATGATGTTAAAGAATTATTTTTTAACTAGAGGCCCGGTGCACAAAAATTTGTGCACTTGGGTGTGGGGGGGTCCCTCAGCCCAGCCTGTGCCCTCTTGCAGTCTGGGACCCCTAGGAGGATGTCCACTTGCTGGCTTAGGCCCACTCCCTGGGGGATCAGGCCCAAGCTGGCAGTCAGACATCCCTCTGGCAGCCCAGCAGCCCTCGGGGGATGTCCACTTACCAGCAGGGAGCAGACCTAAGCTGCAGTCGGACATCCTTAGTGCTGCTGAGGAGGCAGGAGAGGCTCCCGCCACCACCGCTGTGCTGGCAGCCATCAGCCTGGCTTGTGGCTGAGCAGAGTTCCCCCTGTGGGAGTGCACTGACCACCAGGGGATAGCTCCTGCATTGAAGTTTGTGTCATAGTGACCAGTCATTCCCAGTCGTTCTGCTGTTAGGGTCAATTTGCATATTACCCTTTTATTATATGGGATATTAAGCATTCTTTTATCTGCTCATTCTAGACAGCTCCAAAGATATGAAATTACAGATCATTTAGCCAACAACTATTGATTAATAGGACAATTCACAGTCCAGGAGCTTCAGTCTGGTAAGGGCAGTGATAAACCAGTAAATATCTGAATTGCACAGTTAACTATAACATGCTGTGGGGATTCAAAGAGAGAGTGATTGTTACGTCTGTTGGGATCACAAGTGCTTGCCTTCCCTTCACCTTTCCTTCTCTTATTCTCCTCCCCTCCTTACACAGTTTAGAATTCTGTACTTATGTGTAGGTTCGTGCCTCCAGGTTCCAGATTCTGAGACTGTTCCTACACACAGAACTCACCTTCAGTGAGGGAGGACAGAAGGCAAACACACACACAAATAAACAATTACATATGGGGGTGCTGTGAGGAAGATGAAACAGGGCGATGTGATACTGACCGAGGGGTTACCGTGACCAGGCTCGGGTGGCTGGGAGCCTCTGAGGTGAGCCAGCCCACAGAGACCCCGTGCATCACAGGGGCCCTCAGGACCCAATCCAGTGCCGTTTGCTTGGTCCCACTGCCTTCCTAGTACTTATATTCTGAGAAAAGAATGATAATATCAAACATCACCTGAGCAGTTGATGTGTGCCTGGCACTGTTCCGAGCACTTTACATACACCAAGCTGCTTTATCTTCCCACTGGCCCTGTGAAGTAGAATTGCTATGACTGTTATTGGGAAAACTGAAGTTCAGAGATGTTAGGCAACTTGCCCCAAATCACACAGTTCTTTAGGAGCAGAGCTGGGATTTGAGCCCCGCTCTCTGTCTCTAAAATCTTTGGAGAGAGGCTCGGAAGTGGCAGAGCCCAGGCTGCATCCTGGGAAGGGTGGCTGGTTCGTGTGGTATGTAGGGAAGGCAGGGCTTGCCAATCGAGAAGATTGTGGGAACCAAACACCCAGAGACTCTTTGTGGGACGGTGCCTAAGTCGTGTCACTGTGGCTATTTGAACAGCCCAGGTTATCCCTTTGCTCTCGAGTCTTCACGAATTGGATTTGTCTGCCAACAAAGAGATGGGCAGCTCTTCTGAAAACCTACTCAGCAGGCTCCGATTTTTACCGGCACTGAAGTCACTGCTCATCAACAACTGTGCTTTGGAAAGGGAGACTTTTGCCGCCCTCGGTAAGAAAATTCCCCAGGAAGCAGGGTATCAATAACACCTTTTTGGGGGGGAGGGGGGCAGAAGAGGGGATCCCTTTCCCTATGCATGAATTTCATTATTCCAAGACTCAGCCATAAGCAAAGGTGTGACATGCTAATACGTCTTCTTTTCAGGAACTATGCTTTCTTAAAAGTGACCTTCTGAAGGGCACATGAATGACTCTGGCATTTGCACATTTAACCGTTAACATTTAAAGTCTATAGAACCAACTCTGGAGGTCCATGTCCACAGTAACTTGTCATTTCAGTGAGGCGCCAATATAAACTGGGAGTGCTGTCTGATGGGAAAGGAAAGCAATGACTAGCCTCTGAGCCTCGCTGACTGTCCAGGCCTCCCTGTTCCCTGGAATTGCCTACCCCCCCCCCTTCTTGTCTGGGGAGCTCTGATTCCAGGTGTCCGTGGAAGCATCCCCTTCTAAGACAGCCCCACCCTCTCTACATTAGAAGCCCCTGAATCTTCTTTGTGGACTTTATCAGAATTAATCATTATGTGTGTATTTGTTTGGTTTTTTAATGTCCACATTTCTCCCAGATTTTAACCTTGAGGGCAAGATTTGTGTTTGTTCTTCACTGCATACCCAAAGCACATTTTAGACATTTCTACATATTAAGTAAGTAGATAGACAGACAAATTTAAGGGCTCCATAATTTCCCCAATGGTTAGGTAAGACAGGTGTGCATGCACACACACCACATTTCACTGTTCAGACCAATGTTCACTTAGAGAAGTTCTACAAAAAATAAATTTTGGTACAACATGATGTTTCATGCTTCAGATTCAAAATTTGTTGAATTATATATATATTTGATTTTGTGTCTTCTGTAGAAAACACAGCTCTTTCTAATTATAGCTACAAAATCAATGGATCATAATCAAGTAGATACTACACTAAACTATCGCATCTAACATAAATCTATCATTCAATCTGAGTTAAGAAGTAAATCAAGTAGTATATATTTCTCTGCATCACTTTTAGAAGAAAAAAGTTCCATTTCTTATTGAAAGGTCTCTGTACCATATGACTGGGAGGGGTTTTCTTATTTGATGTTATAGAAGAATGTATATTTTTCCCCTTGAATATATTTTACTTTTTAGAAAGAAGGCAGAAAGAAAGAAGTTTAAAGTATAATTAACGAGCCGAAACTGGTTTGGCTCAGTGGATAGAGCGTCAGCCTGCGGACTGAAAGGTCCCAGGTTCGATTCCGGTCAAGGGCATGTACCTGGGTTGCGGGCACATCCCCAGTGGGAGATGTGCAGGAGGCAGCTGATCGATGTTTCTCTCTCATCGATGTTTCTAACTCTCTATCTCTCTTCCTTCCTCTCTGTAAAAAATCAATAAAATATATTTTTTAAAAAAAGTATAATTAACGACTTACCTTAAAAATTACTTGTTCTGGCTGATTTTAATGTTCGGGAAAATTGAGAATTAAGCAGAAAATTCTTTTAATTTCTTTAAAAATCTTTCCTAATACATCACTTCCCTTCTTTGTCTCTGTGACTACAGTTAAGCGAGTACAAATTCATTTTGGAGTTGAGGAGTCCTGGGGAGGTTTGGCCCTGTCTCAGGATTTCAGCTGTGACTGCACGGTTGGTGGGATATGTAAGCCCAGCGCACACTTTGGAAATCTTGACCAGCCTGTGAGCCTACCTCTCTGCCTCTTTCTTCATCTTTTTTGTTGTTGTAAATCCTCCTACAAGGATATTTTTTCCATTAATTTTTAGAGAGAGTGAACGGGAGAACGGAGGAGAGAGAAAGAGAAACACCAATGTGAGAGAGAGACACCGATTGGTTGCCTCCCGCATTCAGCCATCTGGGGCCCATGAACAAACCTGCAACCCTGGCATGCCCTTGACTGGGAGTTGGTGCATGGACCAATGCTCTACCACTGAGCCACACCAGCCAGGGCCATTTCTTCTTCAATGTGAAGGAAAAGAAGGAAATTCCAGGTCATAGTGAATTCCATCTAATTAAGTTTTACTTACTAAGTTTCCAACATTTCTCCCCAATAAAGATAGATAACATAAAGCGAGGTCATGAATTTCAGGCAGGAGTGAACAATCTCTACAACTTTCTGAACCTCAGTGATGTTCATATGTTGCCCTGGCCTCAGTTCCTCAAAGTCAGGGGTCCTCAAACTTTTTAAACAGGGGGCCAGTTCACTGTCCCTCAGACCATTGGAGGGCCGGACTATAGTTTAAAAAAAAACAACTATGAACAAATTCCTATGCACACTGCACATATCTTATTTTGAAGTAAAAAAAACAAAACGGGAACAAATACAATATTTGTATTTGCATGTGGCCCGAGGGCCGTAGTTTGAGGACCCCTGCTCAAAGTGAAGGCTTATGACCTAAATCATTGCTCTTATTTAGCTGAAGCCTCCGTCCACCTCCCTGCCCTGGAAGTACTCAGCCTTTCTTGGAACAAGTGTGTTGGTGGCAACCTGACGCTGCTTCTGGAAACGCTAAAGCTTTCCACGTCCCTCCAAGTGCTGAGGCTGAGCAGCTGTTCCCTGGTGACAGAGGACGTGGCTCTCCTGGGTTTGTATCTCTGGGTTCCTGGCGGGCAGAGCCCAACATACCCGCCCAGCAAGTGCAGGGGGAGGGAGGCGCCGAAGGCAGCGAGGCCTGGGGCCCTCTTTGCAGCTTCGCTTCTCCTGACACCTGCTTGGGAGTGATCTGTTTGAAACAAATAAGGGAGATTCGAAACCCAAAAGGACAGTGGAGGGAAATTTATTATTTGGCATCTGATGAACTGGGAACTCAGGAGGGTGTTTCCTAAAAGAAGATAGACACAGAGGTGGTGGTGGGAGGTTCCTGCCAGGGGACCAGCTCCACATCCTGCCACACATGAGCATCTTGGTGTTCTTAACCAAGTCCGTGTTGACCGAACTTGAGTCATCCACATCCCACCTTTACAAATTTTGCCCTAGTCACATGGTACCTGCGCTATTACTTGATTTTTTTCTTTATGTTGACTCTTTAACTTAAATTTAAACAGAAAACTGATCATCATAACTGAAATACAGGTATCATTTCTCATGGATAGACATCACTAGACTGTTGCCAGCTGAAGTAAGGGACTAGATTGGGCAAGTTAGGTGTAATGAACATAACTGTTCAGGCTGAATGATGGGGGCAGGGGTTCACTCTCCTGTCAACTTTTTGTACGTTTTAAAAAATTTTTCCATAATAGAAAATATTCTGGAGAGAAAAAGCATGCACATCGTCTTTAACACTTACTTAGGCCTTGAGAATATGCTGAGTGACAGGCTGGAAGGCAGAAAGAAAGGACACACATGGACATCTAGGGAGTGAGGGCACTGGTGAGTGTACGGACTGCTAAACTCTCAAGGGCTCTCTGGAATCAAGCTTGTCGCAAATGAAAGGAATGGGCGTGGAGCATCCGGCTGGGTCTGGAAGCCATAACGTATAAGAAATGATGGAGCCCTAACCGGTTTGGCTCAGTGGATAGAGCGTCAGCCTGCAGACTGAAGGGTCCCAGGTTCGATTCCGGTCAAGGGCATGTACCTTGGTTGCGGGAACATCCCCAGTGGGAGATGTGCAGGAGGCAGCTGATCGATGTTTCTCTCTCATCGATGTTTCTCTCTATATATCCCTCTCCCTTCCTCTCTGTAAAAAATCAATAAAATATATTTTAAAAAAAAGAAATGATGGAAAAACCAAGGCATGTTTAGTCCTAAAGGAAGAACATTTGAGGGACCTGACTGTTGTCCAACACTGCAGGGCTAACACAAGGAAGGAGCTGGGGTTCAGGCTGGCCACGGCGGGCAATGGAGGAATCCCCAGGAGGTAGATGAGGGTCCCAAAGGAAGGGCACCCTCCTGCTGAGAGCTGCCTCACCCTCTTGGGGCGACCTGTAAGGGTGCTGCAGGCAGACCCGGGCTGGTCACCATGGAGAAGCTGTGAAAGGGAGCCTTCCCTGATCATTGATCTGGAGGTTGAATCCTCGAGGAGACCCCCAGGTCCCTTGTCACTCCGAGATTTTACACCACTCATCTCATCTCTATAATCCATTTCAACTTTGGACTAAAAAGAAAAGCATGTACTATTAGCCTTGGGTGTCTCCCCTACCTTTTCTTTCTTTTTCTTTTTTATTAAATATATTTTATTGATTTTTTACAGAGAGGAAGGGAGAAGGATAGAGAGTTAGAAACATTGACAAGACAGAAACATCGATCAGCTGCCTCCTGCACACCCCCTACTCGGGATGTGCCCGCAACCAAGGTACATGCCCTTGACCAGAATCGAACCTGGGACCCTTCAGTCCACAGGCCAACGCTCTATCCACAGAGCCAAACCGGTTAGGGCTCCCCTACCTTTTCTTACAGAAGTCGTTATCTTCTCTTAGCTTCATCATTATTATGTATTAAGTGCCCTTGTAGGTAGTACTGTGACATGTGCTATTCAAAGACCAAATTGTTCTGTGATTAGACATCTCTCAGTTGGATTAGAAATTATCCAGGTATGTTTTGCACATGGAAAGTGCTCAGTTAAATCATTGTTGACTGCAGAATGAATGAGAAATGAACAACTAAATAGTATTAAACAGCAAGAAGATTATTTACTAATAGTCTTCTGTTCAAGCCAATGATCCATCATTCCTCACATTTAATTAGAGAAAGTCTGCAGGAAGAGCTGGGACCCCCGTGAAGTAAAGAGCAGGAATTTGACCAAAAAAATATATTTTGGCGGGTAGGGATGTGGAAAGAGAAAAAAATCAATTTTCAAGTTGTACTTGGGATGCACAGAGAGGAAATTTGTTACTAAAGTAATTTCAGATGCCCTAAATAAAATAGCTAGCTAGCAACAAAGCATTACTAATGATCAATCTTGTCATTACCGGTCTGGAACTACCGCGTTGTGTTATTGGAAGTGGGAAACAGCCATGACAGAAAGTATTCTTGTATTTTGGCAACTAGAGTGATTTTGTTTTTCAGCATCGGTAATACACACGGGTCATCTGGCCAGGCTGCAGAAGCTCGACCTGAGCTATAATGACAGCATCTGCGATGCAGGATGGGCCATCTTCTGCCAAAACGTGTGGCTCCTCAGAGAGTTAACGGAGCTGGATATTAGCCTTCGGCCATCAACTTTTCGGGATTGTGGACAATGGTTTAGACACTTGTTATGTGCTGTGACCAGACTTCCGGCGATCACTGACATAGGAATGAAAAGGTGGCTCCTCCCAGCTTCACTGGAGGAAGAGCTAAAACGCTTGGACCAAGATCGCCGCAGCAGCATTCACTTTGACCATGGCGGGCATCAGTAAGCTGGTTTCCCAAGGTCATGTATATGATTCCATGTATATAACATTCTTGAAATAACAAAATTATAGAGACAGAGAACAGCTCGGGGATTGAGAAAGGGGTAGGTGGTAGATGTGACTAAAAGGAATAACACAGTAAAGACGTGTGGTGATGGAACAATTTTGTATCTTGATTGTGGTGGTGGCTACATGAAGCTACATGAGACAAAACTGCATTGAAAAAAAAAACAACAACTGCATTGACCCCCACCCCAACACACACACACACACACACACACACACACACGTGAGTGTATGTGTAACTGATGGAATCTGAATAAGTTCTCCTGATGGTACCAATGTAGATTTTCTGGTTTTGTTATTGTATTCTAGTTATGCAAGATGTCAACACTAAGGGAGGGTAAAGGGTACATGGGCCTCTTTGTACATTTCTTTGGAACTTCCTATCCTATATAATAAAAGCCTAATATGCTAAGTGTCCAGTCGTCCAGTCATCCATTCAACCAATCAAAGTGTAATATGCTAATGATATGCTAAGGCCACTCAACTGCTCACTATGATCACCAGGGGGTAGACGTTTCAACTGGTAGGTTAGCTTGCTGCTGGGGTCCAACCGATTGGGACTGAGTGAGATGGGCCAGACACACCCTGGAGCCCTCCTGTGGTCCCTCCCTGGCTGGCCAACCTCCCATGTCTCTCCCCGGCCCCGATCAGACACCAGTGGGGTCCCTTGGCCTGGCCTGTGCCCTCTCACAATCCGGACTGAGGGACTCCCCCCCCCTACCCCCCCCCCCAGTGCACGAATTTCGTGCACCAGGCCTCTAGTGAATATATAATTATTTCAAAACTAAAAGCTTGTTACAGAATACTATAACAAACCTCCATGTAACTATCAGATATTTCTGCAATTATCAGCTTATGTCCAATCTTGTTTCATTTGGATCCCCCACACTTACCTGATATTATTCTGAAGCAATTCCTGGGCTTCATATCATTTTCTCATAAATATTTCAGTAAAAGTAAGAATATTTACTTTAATACATAACCATAATTTAATGAACAATTTTAATGTGGTGGGCATCTAATTCCTATATATTTTTGCCTTCTTAATCCATCAGGGTTCATTACCTCAAGTCATTAATATACAAAATTATTTCTTCTTTTCCTTTGCAGGTTTTTCTTTTCCACCCTTCTTTCCTGACTTAGATTTTAGAGAATTCTTTCCTTTCTTTCGCACTCTTAACAGTTCACTAAATTTCCCAATTCCTTTCAGTACCATCATTCCACGCCACCAGGACTGAATCTGAAAACAGATAAACCCAAACAGTATTAGCTGGTATCACTGGGAATGGTTACAACTCTTCGTTCTGACATGTGGTTTTAAAAATGTGAAGAATGCAATGTGATGAGAACTCTAAACCTTATTTTCTCTCTTTCTCAATTGGCCAGTCATCCAGGAATTTTTTTAAAGTATTGAGTGCTTTTATGCACCAAGCCCTGTTCCAAACCTTTGGGAAACAGCAGCTAACAATGCCTGGCACATAGTAGAAGCTCAATAAATACTACTGTCACTGACTTTGTGGAGCTCACATTCCAGTGAAGGGAAGAGACAATAAACAATAAACACATAAATGTATAATTAGATGGTGTTCAGTGCCCTGGAGATGGCAGTGCACAGTAAGGGGAATCAAGCGTGCCTCTACCCTGCCTTCCTTCTTGTTACTAGTCTTCCTATGCCCCTGACTACCTACAGCCAGCCCACCCTTGTTGCCTCACTCAATCCTATTCCCTCGCACCTACTCAGGAATATCCCATCTCTAGAAGTAAGTAGACTCTTTGAACCTTTAGCATCCAGAACCAGAACTGTGAGAAAACACATTTCTATTGTCTAAGCGTCCTAGTCTATGGTCTGTTGTTATGGTAACCTGAGGCAGTCATTTTTCCAATGAAGCCTACTTCAAGTTCTGACCATCTCATTTAAATTGAAAGTCCACAACACACACACACACACACACACACACACACACACACACACACAACTTCTGGTAATCTCAGTTCCCCTTAGCTTGAACTTTTTTTCCAATACCACTTATCACTTTCTAACACAGTATATAATTTTATGTTATCTATTCATGTTTTTATTCCCATCACACTAGACTTTAAGCAATATGAGGACACACTGTGTTTTGTTCAAACTGGTGTATTTCCAGTGCCTAGAACAATGCCTGGCACATAGTAGAAGCTCAATAAATATTTGTTGGAGGAATGAAGAAGTTAGGTGGGGTTATGCTGTTTTATAGAAGGTGGACTAAGGGCAGGTATGACGAAATTTGAGCAGCGACTCAACTAAGTGAAGGCAGAGTTTTGTCCATACCAGGGGAATTATCTCTGGGCAGAAAGAGCCAGTGTGAAGAACCTGAGGCAGGAGCATGCTTGGGCCTTAGAAACATACCGAGGATCGCGTTTGTGACTCAAGTAAAGTAGAAAAGGGAAGGATGAGATGGGGAGTGAAAGCAGCAGATCCGGTAGGGTGGTGATTTTCCGGGGACAGTACTGCCCTCTAGAGGCATTCTGAAAATGTGCGGGGCTTTTTGTTGTCAAGGTCTTCAATTGTGTGACATGCACCCTAGTCCACAAAGACTTTCCAAGGGTGTGCAAGCTTGGACAGTTTGGAAGCAATCCATCTCCAAAATTTCAACTTCCACGCGTACCCTTTTCTAAAATGTATCTGCCTAGGAACACAGCTGCCCCTCTGGCACACTTCCCACCCACCTGAGTCTGAGGGTGTGTTGCCCTGGACTTCAGAAACCTCTGGGACACCAAAAAAAAGGGGGGGGGGGACAATTCAAAGTAATATCACTGATGTTGGCTCTAAGGACAGGTAACCAATCCTTTTGCCTTCCAGCTCTTCGCCTTCAAGAAAATTGAAAGTAGAACAGTTGATTTGTCTGCTAAGAGCCTGCTATCTGATTTGGGGTATAAATCTGGGAAAAGTTCCAGAGATGTTTAAGGCATTGCCATTTAAAACAAGATGTGGCAAAGAAAAAAAACTTCTAATCACCTAGTTTATGGGGACAATGTTTCTCAGCACTTCATTTGTAAAATGAAAAATAGGCATAGAACTGATGCCAGGCCCCATCTCATTCTAGCCATAAGTACTATTGATGCAAGGATACATAACCCATGTGGAAAAGTTTCTCTCATTTGTATGTGTATTTATCCACAATCTTATAGGTCAAATAATTAAACATCAAAATTCATAATAGATGTTATGTTGTTATGGTCAATTTTATACTACCAATAATTATAATATGACTAATAAAATGTAATAATCTAGAACATTATAAAACCCTATAGTCACAGAAAAAAATAATTTTAATTTGTATAAATATTTTTGTTACCCATAAGTATGAAAGGTGATCTATAAATGACTTTAAATTACATATATATATATATATATATATATATATATATATATATAATAAAATGATATGTACAGGGTGTTCCCCCCAAATGTATATACACTTTAATAGCTGATAATGCAATTTTGAAAATGAAATGTATTTTAATAAACACTGCCTTTATAATTATTCAAAGTATGTGGATACATTTTTTGGGACACACTATATATATCACATGAAATATTAAGATCAATTCTAAGGGGAAAATGGAATGAAAATAGATGTTCAAGAAGAAAAGGATATAACAAAATGTCTGCCTGTGAAATAAGAACATGTTCAAGTATCTTGTAAATTGATGTTGACTGACATATCAAATCAAAATAATATTTAGATTCCATTGGGTACATTTAAAATATTGATCTAAGAGCTCTATTTTAAAATGTCGATATTTAAAATTCACTGAAAAGTAAAAGCTTTGCGATGATTTAAACCTAGTGACAAAAAAATTTAAATACCAATTTTGAAAATGTGCAAGAGGGTATATGGTTTTTCAAAATGCTCTTAGGAAGACTCCAAAAAGTATTTTTATTCTTCCAAAGTAGTCATTTCTGAATATATACATAGTAAAACAAATATTTTAACATAAATAACTGTCCTTAGCTTTCCCTTTATGTTGTAGCTCAGGCATTACTTTGATTTATTAAAAGTATGTGGTTTTGGTAGGTAATATTATCTATGAGTTTAATTTTAGGGAAATGAAAATGGTTGATTTCAGCAGAGGAGAGCTGATCAACCTATAGTTTGACAGCATCAGTGTGACTGCTGAGTGAAAGGTATATTTTCGGGGAGCAGGTGTGGAAGTAGGAGTGTGAGAAGATGGGGGCTTGGAACAGCTGAATGGAGAACACTGAATACTGACTGAAGTGAACACATTCCTGGTCTGTCTGGGGTATCCTTATGTCTCCATGAGCTTCATGGGCAAGACAGGGCTCTTAGTTCTTTGATCCTAGTTCAGTGATGGCGAACCTGTGACACACGTGTCAGAGGTGACACGCGAACTCATTTTTTGGTTGATTTTCCTTTGTTAAATGGCATTTAAATATATAAAATAAATATCAAAATATAAGTCTTTGTTTTACTATGGTTGTAAATATCAAAAAATTTCTATATGTGACACGGCACCAGAGTTAAGTTAGGGTTTTTCAAAATGCTGACACGCCGAGCTCAAAAGGTTCGCCATCACTGTCTAGTTAGTGGCAGAGAAGAACTCTGGTCGCTAGACCTCTGCACCATAAATGCTTTCATTTCTAATTTTTCAGCCTTATCTTACTGACTTTGTTACTATCAGCTTTCCATCCCAGTGAATGCTCTAAGAATTTTAGATTGTTTTAAGAGTTGAAATTTTGGTTTCTTTTGCCTGATTGTTGGCTTCTTATCTGACAAGGAGAGGAGGAACAAACATGCTAGGATGATGTTCAAAATTCTCTCGCTTGGCCCTGGGTAAGTAAAGAAGAGTCTCTACTCTCAAGGACAAGGTACAGATGTGTAAAGAGCAGCCTCATTGGATAATCTAATGTGTTTAACACTAACCCCTCTCCAAAGCAACTAGGAGTCTATTATCCAGAAATGTTGCTGATTTACCTTTGTTGCTACTATTTTCATATGTCTTTTATTCTTAAGGTATGCGAAGATAGCCTCTTTGCCTTCCGTGTACACTTCTTCTGGGGGATCTTCCATAGGATTGTCCATCAGCGTCAGAACGTCGAGATTCACTAGACTATCTAAATCCTCTGGGAGTTGGGTGAGCAAGTTGTTCTCAAGTAGTAATTCTCTCAGAGCTGAAACAATATTTTAAAATGATGAATTTATCTTGAAAACAGGCAAGAATTAAAACGTGAATTCTTTAGTCCCGTCATTTTGAAAGGTTTGTTTTCTACTGTGCCATGTCACACAAAAACATCAGATTGGATGAGGCAACCCGAAGTTCTTTTCTTTAAAACAACTCAGAGTTGTTGGAGTTCATGTAAATAAGTATTAGAGGCAAGAAACATTAATAAACACTAAAAGATTTTGAGAATGTTTCGTTCCTCCAGAGACCAAGGACAGGATAAAAATGTACAGTCGGGAGCATTACTAAAGAGTACAGCATAGCCTCTAACCTTTGAATGTCTTGTGGTTAGGTCACAGCTTGCACTCATATTTCTTCATCCTCCTTTCACTAAAGAATGGGCATAGTTTGAAAACATATCTATAAACCTGAAGATTCAGTACACTATGGGGAAATTTTTTTTTAATCTGGCCCCAGTAGGAACTCAGCAAAAAGCTTAAGTAAATGGATATGTTTGAGTGTTTAAATATGAATCATATATGACTTTTCATGTCAATCATGTAGCTTCAAAAGCCCCCCCTCTCCCGCCCCTTGCTGATTTCACCACTGTGAGTCAGTATTTTCTTTTTCTTCAAGTGACTTAGTGACCTAATGTGAATTTACTACAGGGCCCCCAACTCCCAATTCCAACATGTAGTAGGGATTCAGTACATTTTTGTTGGTGGTGTAATGACTAATTATCTTAGCAGTTGCAACTTGCTTTTTAAATTCCCAATAAATAATCTGCCTTTGTGAGGCTCTGAGCTGTACTAGTCAGAGACCTGACCTTCCCAGGGAGCCCTGCAAGGAGGTAATGAGGTAGGGCCAAGCTCTCTAAACACGGAGATTGGTCTTTAGAAAAGCAAAGAAGCTTTTATTGAGGGAAATGCTGGCCTCAAACTCCACTAGGCTATGGGCTACTAAGATTTCCCACCTTGTGCTTGGCAGATGGCATCTGGAAGCTGCTTAAGCAGATTGTGGCGGCAATCAAGAACTTCCAGGTTAGGCATTGATCCCAAGGCCACTGGCAAGTACTCCAGATGGTTGTTTTCTATATGCAGCTCCTTAAGACTCTGAAATAAGATCATAGTATACCACAATGATCCTTATATTGAAAAATGAATTACAGCAACTAGAATCACCTTTGAGTTCCCATGCTACTTCAGTGAGGGTTATTATGCATTGGCATAAAGGGGGAAAACATTTAAAGGACCATCATCAAGAAGTTATTTTTCAGTTAAACTATTAGGAATGGTTTACATTTATGTAGGGAGATTAGAACATGGGAATCTAGTATTTCTGTTTCATGAAAACTTTATGAAAAAAACTTTATGAAAAAATAATTTGGATCATTTAACTACACACATCATTCGCTCCCTTTCAATAGCTAATTATCGGTGGCAGTTGCCTCAAAGTATAATTTCCCCAAATATCAATCCAACATTGCCCAAGTTGAAGTAGCCAAGTATATAGATAATAAGTTAACTACGTTCAAATTTGCTGGGCAAAAACTTGTTTGTATCTCACCCTAAGATTTTGAAGAGTATGACATGACGTACAAGGAGCGAAATGATAGACAGAGTTCTATGAACACAGCATAAAGAAACGGAGAATTCGGAATAGAAACCCTGTGTCATAGGTGAGTATCTGCTATACATACCGTTGACCATTGCTCAGTGCCATGACCAGGGATAACGTAGTGGCCCACACCTACTTTATCAGTATTAAGAGTGCAGTACCAGGAGCATGAAAATATAACAGTTCCTTAAAGTATGCATATAGATAAAGACACACTGGTATGGCTACCAGTTAGTGAAGTGAACGTGTTGCTCTGCTAGGATTTATCACAGTGCCCTGGACCCATCCTCAGTGAACCTGGTGCAACAGTGAAATAGAGCACGATTTACATTCCACCATGGAGAGTGGGAGGTCTATTGCCCATCCAAACGGCAGCTCCCAGCATTCACCTGTATGATACTTTAACTTCAAAATAGTACAACTTTCAGGGGTAACTTATGAAAAGTAGAAACGAAATGAAAAGCAGTGTGGCTCAATTTTTGCAAATAAAACTTTCCAAAACACATAGTGGAAAGGAGTATGGCATGACATACCCACTAGCAATCACAATAACTTGTTTTAGGTATAGATCTGGGGGTTGATCAGGAAGACAGTGGAAGGCTCAAAGCATAATAATGACTGTTGTTAGGAGCTGGAAATCTGGTATGGTTGATTCCACACGCAGCCTGTGGGAACAGGGCGTGTTTCCCCAATATCAGCCAACTTAAGCAATCAGTAGGTGTGTACCTCTTTGCCTGCTCGTTTGGGGAGGCTTACCTGTAGTTTCCCAATGTCCTCTGGCACAGAGGTGAGCTTGGCTCCCTGATCTTGCCCAATGTATAATTTCTCTAAGGACTCTAAAGAAAAGATTTCTTCTGGAAATGAAATGAACTGATTCCCACTTAGTCCAAGTATCTTCAGTTTTGAAAGTGCACCGAAGTCTGAAGATAACTAGAAGTATTCCAAAAAGATAAGTTTCAAGTCAATATCTTCTTTTAAATCCTCACATGAGGATATATTTATTGATTTTAGAGAGGGGGGAGGGAGAGAGAGAGAGAGAGAGAGAGAGAGAGAGAGAGAGAGAGATGAGAAACAACATCGGTCAGCTGCCTCCCCCCATGCCCCAATCAGGATGGAACCCACAACCTAGGTATGTACCCTGACCAGGAATCAAACCTGCAAACTTAATAGAGATTAAATCCTAGATTCTCTTCCTAAATCTTAAAGTTACTATCAAAACACTTACTTGCTGACAGGCAGTTTTAAAAGTCTATGGCAATTAGGAAAACAAAAGACCTACCCAAGGTTTTGAAAATTGAATAAAATATGTATTTTTTATGAAACTCACACCTTGCCTGGCCCGTGTACCACAATGGTTGAGCCTCGACCTATGAACCAGGAAGTCTACGATAGATTCCCTGTCAGGGCAGATGCCCTGATTGCAGGCTCAATCTCCAGTAGGGGGTGTGTAGGAGGCAGCCAATCAATGATTCTCTCTCATCATTGCTGTATCTATGACTCTCTCTCCCTCCCTTTCTGAAATCAATAAAAATATATATATTTTCAAAACCCACACCTTTTTGGCCTAGGATTTTTATAATGTCTGGGGAACACATGAGACTGGTGTCCATGGCCAGGAAAGACAGACCTATTATTTGGTTAGATGTTGAATTCCAAGTATCCCTTTTTCTCCCTCTATAGTTGTCTTTTGCTTTTCAAATAAATCTTTTTTTATTTTAAATATTAAACAAAAGAAACAAATACAAGTATACCCAAATCTTTTGTTAATAAACAATAAAATACTGCAATTAAAGTTGAGTTTCTCTATAATACCTTCATTTGCTTGACTACTTCCCTCTTCCCAGAAACAGCCATTGTTAGGAATGTAGTTTTTTCCAGTCCATATTTTTTATACTCTCATGACATATATAAATATCCATAAAATTTGTTGTGTGTATATGTATTTTTGTGTGATTAAAAATTTTTATAAGTGGCATCATTGGGTTCTGCAATTCAGTGCTTTACTTTTTAACAAACATTAACATTTTGGGATTTCTCCACATTGGTACCTATAGCTCCCATTCACTTAAATTATTGCATAGCATTCCATTTTACAAATATACCACAATTTACTTGCTCATTCCTCTATTAACTGAATGTGCACTGACCACCAGGAGGCAGACAATTTAGATTGTCTTCCATTACTTCATGATTACCAGGTCACCCTGTACACATGGGAAAGTTTCTCTAAAGCTGTTTTTGCAGTTTCCTATGAATGGAACATTAAGATCTAAGGTTGTATGTGTCAGAAAAATCTGTTTAAGGAAATCCTGTTAGGAGGTGGTCTTTATTAAGAATACTACAAGCCCGGTGCATGAAATTTGTGCAAGGGGGGGGGGGTGTCCCTTAGCCCGGCCTACGCCCTCTCACAGTCCAGGAGCCCTTGGGGGATATCCGCCTAAGCCGGCAGGCGGACATCCCTCTCACAATCCGGGACCCCCTCTCTCCTTACTGCCCACCTGCTTGCTGCTCCTTACTGCTCAGCTTGCTGCTCCTTAGCACTGCCACAGATGTGGGAGAGGCTCCTGCTACCGCCACTGCATTCACCAGCCGTGAGTCCGGCTTCTGGCTCCCCACAGGGGTAGTGCACTGACCACCGGGGGCAGCTCTTGCATTGAGCGTCTGCCTCCTGGTGGTCAGTGCACATCAGAGCGACTGGCTGTTCTGCCGTAATGGTCGCTTAGGCTTTTATTATATAGATAGACCCTGGAGTCCAGCAGCTCTGGGTGGGAATCCTGCCTTCATCACTTATAGGCATGTGGCCTTGACAAGTTAGTTACGTGCCCTGCGCCTCATTTTCCTCATATGCCATTGAGGATAACATTACCTACATCAAAAGTACTTGTCAGTCCCTAGCCGGTTTGGCTCAGTGGATAGAGCATGGGCCTTGGACTGAAGGATCCCGGGTTTTATTCTGTTCAAGGGCACATGCCCTGGTTTCAGGCTCTATCCCCAGTTGGGCACATGCAGGAGGCAGCCAATCGATTATTCTCTCTTATCATTGATGTTTCTGTCTCTTTCTCCCTCTCCTTTCCTCTCTGAAATCAATAAAAATGTATTTTAAAAAAGATACTTGAGAGGATTACACTTTGCCCAGGGCCTAACATACATATTGTAAATAAACGGTAGCTATTAATTGTGATTAATGTTGTTCTTGGAGGTTAATTGTGATTAATGTTGTTCTTGGAGGGGAGGGGAGGGGAGTAATAAAAATGATCGCCGTGTTGGCTATATTTGTTAACCCTGGATGTTTGCCCATAAAGTCCGTTAGAATGTGCTGATGTTTAGACACAGAACCGCACCAACTTCGGGCAGGGAGGGCCCGGGGTGAGGGCCCGGTGCCAGCCGGGAAGGGGATCAGTACCTTCCCTATCTTATTATCATCCAGCGCCAGGATCTCCAGGTTCCTCAGCGAGCAGATCTGCAAGGGGAAGCCTTGCATTTGGTTCTGACTGAGGTCCAGGAAGCGCAGGTTGACCAGGCGCCGGAAGGAGCGGCGCAGCGAGCGCAGGCCGGCGTTGCACAGGTAGAGCAGCTGCAGCGCGGTCCACTTGCAGACCAGGCGCGGCACCTTCTCCAGCGGGTTCCCGCTCAGCGCCACCTCCGTCATCTCCGAGAGGCTCCCCAGGGTGCGCGGGAGGGAGTGGAGGCGGTTGTAGGAGAGATCCAGCACCGACAGCTTGTCGCACTGGCACAGGGACTCGGGCAGCCCCTGCAGGCTGTTGCGAGCCACGTAGAACTTCTGCAGCCGGGCCAGCCTGCCGATCTCCTCCGGGAGCGCCGTCAGCCTGTTCTCATCCAGGTCAATGATCACCAGGTTGCGGAGGACGCAGAGCTCCGGCGGGAAAACCTCAAATTGGTTTTGCTTCAGGTAGAGCTCCCGCAGTTTGGTCTGGTTCACGATTTCCTTGGGCAGAGACTTGAGGCGGTTTCCCGACAGGCCGAGCAGCTCGAGGTGGTGGAGGTGCTTGCAGATGTCGGTGGGGATCTCCCGGACCTGGGTGCGGTAGAGGCGGAGCTGGCGCAGGGAGCGGATGCTGCTGAGGACCGGGATCCAGGAGGGGAGGATGGGGTTGTCGCTCAGGTCCAGGCCCTCCAGGCGGCTCAGCCTTCCCAGCTGCGGGCACAGCTTGCTCAGCCTGTTGTTGTTCAGGTAGAGGACTTTGATGTTCTCCAGGTACTGGATCTCCTGGGGGATCTCCTCGATGTCGTTATTTTCCAGGTGCACCTCTTCTAATTCTCTTAATTCTAAGATCTCCGGTGGGATCGCAGCCAAGTTCTGATTAGCGGCATCGAGGAAAAACGTTCTTCCAGATGTGCCGTGGGTCATGTTTCGACGCGCGTTAGAGGAACGTTCTACTGCTTGTGTGATGCCAGTTGGTATTATCTTGACGGGCCATTCAAATATTCAAAATCTGAAATAGTGTGAAAAGGAAAAAAAAATCAGAGTTTACCTGCCACCAGGGTTGGTATCCTGAAAGAGAGAACAAATTAAAATTTTAGTTGATTGAATTTAGTGCTTGACATTGCGCCACAACATAAAATAAAGGTTTTTGTGATTTGCGTTGGGAGAAGAATTAAAGTGTAGACTCCTCTTACTCCTAACAGGTTAACTAATATTTTTTTAAAAATAGTCTAAATTCCGTTTTTTGAAAACATGCTCATCTTGATTCTATTTCCAGGTAGGCTGTAGAAAGTTGCAAAAGATCATTGGTCCTACAATAAACACTGAGAGAACACTAGAAAAAAATTAATATTTTAAAATATTTTATTTTTCCTTAAAACGACTGGAGAGTTGTGGGTGCACCGGTCAAGAGAATTAAATGTGAGAGATGGACTAGTCCTCCCTGAATAAGTAGAGACCAGTGGGCGCTTTTATGCCTGTGGCATTTTCAAGTTTAGAGACTGATGGGGTGGGGTGGGGGGGGGGGAACAAGCCATCCGCTAGCTAGGCAAAGGCCCTTCTGGGGTAAAGAGAAACCAGCCAAACATTTTGTTGTTGTTAATCTTCACCCAAGGACATTTTCCCATTGATTTTTAGAGAGTGGAATGGAGGGGGGAGAGACAGAGAAAGAGAAACATCGATGTGAGAAAGACACATCTACTTTTCTTTTTAAATATTTTTTATTTTATTTATTTTTTATTGATTTCAGAGAGGAAGAGATAGAAGCATCAATGATGAGAAAGAATTACTGATTGGCTGCCTCCTGCACGCCCCCTACTGAGGATCAAGCCCATAACCTGGGCATGTGCCCTTGATGAGAATCGAACCCGGGACCTTTCAGTCCACAGGCCGACATTTTATCCACTGAGCCAAACCAGTTAGGGCGACATCTATTGGTTGCCTCCTGCACACACCCCCACCAGGGCCAGGGATGGAGCCTGCAACCGAGGTACGTGCTCTTGACTGGAATGGAAACCGGGACCCTTCAGTCTGAGGACCGATGCTCTTATCCAATGAGCCAAACCAGCTAGGGCTTGACTGAAAACTCTTATCTGCATTTTAATGGGCTTTGATGTGCACAGGCAAATGGACCCCATAGTCCAGTAACATCAGGACACTTATGTGCTCTAGGATTTACTTAAATTAACCTATTTAATCCTCACCAGAACCCTAACAAGGAGGCACCATTATAATTCCTGTTTTACAGATAAACTAAGTAACTAAAAGAGCTCTTCTCAGGATAGAGTAGGAGGTGGGAGCAGAACCAGAGAAGTTGACTCAACCTCACATAGTTTTTTAGCATCATTTATTCACAGGAAGCCTTGTTTTTATAAGAATAATTCTTGGGTGTGAAGTTTCAGGTTTGATTTTTCTTTCTTTCTCAGCCTTCCAAGTTATCTGGGGGAAATGTGTGTGGACTAGCCATCCTGATTAGAGTGAATACAGTGTGTCTGGGCTTCCAGACACATAAAAGAACTTATTTCTCCTAACTTTCATCTTGTCCATGATGAATCCTGACTAGAATGTCTGAATGTGTGTGTATATATTATCTCACCTTAATCAGATATCACATATGTGTCTGGAACCAATTTGATGGCCCTCTGAAAGATATATATATTATCATTAGTGGATTTAATAAAAGGAGTTTGTGGGGAACACTTTGTAAAGTATTGTCTAACCATTATGCTATACCCTAAAACTAATACAAAATAATATTTAAAATAAATAAGTAAATAAACAAATACTGGTTGTAAAGCCTGGGTTTGCAACAGCTTTGTTAGTAATTCAGCCACAGTAAATGAGAATGGGGGAAGATTGATTCCTTATTGGCTATTTTTCCCCCTAGAAATTGCTACCTGAACATGGTCAAATTAACTTATTACAATCCAATGTTACTGTGGTGTTTCTAAGTGGAATAACTTGTTGCATCATCATTTTAAAGAGCCAAGGTTGGACAATTTAATAATTAGCCCTTCTTTATGTAATTTTAATGTCCAAGAAAACCATTTAGGAAAATGACCAGCCCTCTCAAATTTACATCAAGTGTTGATACTTATGTTTCCATGTGTAATTACACACAAACTGGATGGATAAAATTAGGGCCCTGAGGTTAATATGGTCAGTGACTGACTGTCTCTGATTACATTTCTAGTTAAAATCATTTCAAGATTTTGCTTATAACTTCACCTGGGAGCTATTTTTCCTTTGATACAGACAAGCTAAAAGTAGCCTTAATTATCTAGGACTAGAAAATCATGTAACAGTAACACTACCCTTTGCTTTGATGAAAATGTCTTGGAAGCTATAAAATCCCTTGAAAAAATTTTGTCTCCTTTCAGCTAATACTGAACTGAAAGTTCCATATAGATTTCAGACGTCAGTGGAAAACTTTTTACAAGCAAGCAACTTGAAGGTGTGCTTCCATCCCCACTGTCACCAAATTATTTATCTGAAATAGCTTCTCACACTTGCTTTCTTTAAAGACTCAGAAGTTGCATCTTATCCATTTTGCAAAAGTGTTTCACCCTCAGTCCCTTCCCCCTACCGTCAAACTATCAATCTAGTAACTCATTGAGCAAGCCTTTCTTTTTCTTTTTCTTCTGGTTTTAAATTTGGGTTTTTCAAAATGTTATTTGTATCATGAGCAGGAAAGTTTGGGGCACTATTTCACTATGAATCATGACATATTTTCTCATCGCATCAGAAAATAAGAATGTAAACTTTTCATGCAACATACTCTTTTATCCATGGGCCAAAATCATTTTAAAATAACAAAACACTCATTTTCCATCTGCATATTCAGTACCTAAACATTCATGCATGAACAACACCAGCAGTCAGTATTTCAGATACTTGTCAGAAAATCAAACCAGGCATTTATTCTGTTCCAGCGCTTGCTGGCATCTCAGTTAGACCATCTGATAGCTGTGAAAATAGCTAATGAATATGTTAAAGATTCCCCCAGATCCTTTGAGCTCAATCTCCATATTATCAGGAAACACCATGCCTAGACCCTATTACCATAATTAAATACCATGCCGTTGGCTTTCTAAGTAGAATTACAATAAAATAAACAATCATTTGAAAAAATATTTCTGAATCGTCTACAAAATTATAGTCCAAGGCATGTGCATTAAATTACTTATATAAAGATATACCTACTAAATTTTCCTACTATAGGGTACCAGAGACACGTAAATGCTGCCTTTTATTGAAGCCAGGGGACTCCATACCCTCATATATTCTCTTTGGTTCTGCCTTCTAGGAATCTCAGATTCGAGTTAGACCTATACTCTGGGTTCTTGACACAGAAGAACCCAATGAATCCACTTAGGTTTCCTTCAAGCTAGCTCAGCAGCATCTCCCCCACCTCCCTACCCCTCAGTGCTTCTCAAGGGGAGGTCTTCATCTCCCCCTCCCACCCAACTACATCCCTCCTTTATCTGGAAATCATTTCGTGAGGGGCCATGAGAAATATACTGATGGAACTAGGTTGTATATGTGATCAGTGTCTTTTCGACCATCTGTTTAGTATGCATTTTGACACTGCAGGCTGTATTTTTGTGTAAATACTGGTTTTGTTTTGCCGAGGCAGCTAGCTAAGGAGAATAGTGCTGTAAGTTGTTTGGTTAAAGCAGCCCTTTTCTGTTTATTCTGTTCTGACCCTGTTTATTAGTTACTCTCTAAAACAAGAATCTGATTCTGCATTTCTTGCTTCCTTGGAAGACCATCCCTCTCTCCCCAGTGGAGCAGCAATTAATTAATCCTCCACCTCTCTTTCCTTTCCTGTATCTTCTTAACTCAAAACACTTTAAGGGAGGCATAGGGAAAGGCAGGTGCTAGATGGTACCTGCACTTACACTTTGGTATTTCAAGCCACCTGTCAACTTTGTTGGTGGCACATAGGGTGAGTGAACACATAATTGTCTGTTTTCTATCATCATGGTTAACCTGAAGAAGTGATATTTCAGGTGATGTTTCAATTCTGCGGGCACAGGGTTTCAAGACACCCTGCCTTGTTCGGCATAACAATTTCTTGGCAGCGGAGCACTGGTGGACTTGCCGGGTGGGACAGCATGAGGGGAGAGAGGATTCAGGCATTTTTTTTTTTCACCTTTGAAACTGGTGCTTTATAAACCAGCCCTCGTTTCACTTTGGAGGGGTCTCTGTCCTGGCTCCGGGGGTCTTTGGCCAGGGGCCTTGGGACTTTCCTTCCTGAGTCCATAAGCAACCCCCAAACAGAAGGGCCTCCCCTTTCCCCTCCTTCCCTCTTTCTCCCCTCCAACCCTCCAAGGAACTAAATTCTGAGTAATGTCACCCCTGTAACTATTTTCTGGGTTTTGGCCCCTTTCCTCCTCATCCCCCCCCAAGGCCCAGTCCTTAGCTGAAGGCCTTTATTTTTTTCCTCCCGGGGCCATTGCAGGCTGCTTTCAGAACCTCCTATTTTTCCTGCGAGTGTGGACAAATCCCATTTCTCCAAAAAG